TATCATATCTGTGTTTTCTCCTCACTTTCTGATGTAACTGGAATACTGTTCAAGAGGCATTTAACCTCACTCACTCATGCACGAATTATCGTTATTGTGTCACACGAACACATATTTGTTTGGGGAACTCTTAGAGTGATGAGTAGTCTCTGTCCAGCAAGATAGAATTATACACATTACATTGTCACGGATCAGGGGGTCAGGCTCACTGACTTCGTTCGTCTAGTGTCACTCACTGCGCGGGGCGGTGGAGTAGCCTAGTGGTTCAAGCGTTGGCTCGTCGAGCCGAAGGCCCGGGTTCGATTCCCCACAAGGGTACAATGTGTGAAGCCCATTTCTGGTGTTCCTTGCCGTGATATTGCTGGAATATTGCTGAAAGCGGCGTAAAACTAAACTCGGTCAGTCAGTCACTCACTGCGCTGATCGGTGTTCATGATATCAATCACAGGATTATCTGGTCCTTGGTTATTTACAGCGCGGTGGGGTAGCCTAGTGGTTGAAGCATTTGCTCGTCACACCGAAGGCCCAGGTTCGATTCCTCACATGGGTGCAATGTGTGAAGCCCATGTCTGTTGTCCCCTGCCGTGATTTTTGCTGGAATATTGCTAAAGGCGGCATAAAACCCCACTCACTCACTCACTCACTCAATATAGTGAAGACCTGTTAGTCTTAATGCAGCTGTTCCTGATGTAATTATTATGTGGGTTATTATACTCCCGGAATATAGAATCATTGGTGTGGCTTCATCGATGCTCCAGATAAGTATTGGAGCCATTGTATATTAAGTTATCAATCACAAATGGTGTTGATACTTTTCTTTGAGAATTCCGTATGTTATTACACCCTTGGGTCCAATCTAGTGGTTATTTCCTTACCAATAATACACTCATTCTTCAGATAAATCTGCTGGAAATGCTTTCAGGTGACTTCTAATTGAAAATGTGCCTTGAAGCACCTCATGTGTAACTTGTCACATAACAATAAGCAAGATGGTGCCCACTGTTTCAGTATTCAGTGTATTAGATTTCATGTGTGTGTGTTGCTTGCATTTGATCAATAAATATATATCTGCTGTCATTCTAGAGATGTTATCACGCAAGTGTCAGGATGGTCAATATCCTGGCAGAATAAATGTATTTTTGTAGCTTCCCATACTTGTATAATGTCTTGTCTACATTTGTTAAGACACTTAGTCTACTGCTTTTCGGTTTCTTAGGCTATTGTTTTCAAAATGATGACAATTGTCACAATTGTTTTTCCATATTCCCGATGGTTAATTATCAATCGATTGCTGATAGACAAGTGAAGTACCATGTTTAAAAATAATAATAATAATAATAATTATTTTTCCTGATCCTGACTCATGATCTTTTGCTTCTCGTCATGAGTCAGGATAAGTATAAAATATCAATTTTACTTTAAAAATTACATTATTTTATAGTGCCTAGTATCCATCTGTGGCTCACTGGATGCTGTAATCACAATCAGATTATTATTACCCCGGATAACCCAAGCTGCCGGCGCTACAAGGTTAATAGTCACTTCCCAGAATAGATTTATCCCACCGGGTACCCATTTTCTGCTGGGTGAACAAGTAGTATCTACCTGACATTTCAAAATTTCTCTATATACGTAGGTCACCCCAGCAGATACTGTTTTATCCGTGGTTTTATCCTACAGGAATTTACCCATTTTATGATAAAATGGGTGTGAGTGGGTAAAACAGGCTGAATGAACATGGTCACTCTGTAACTGCTGATGTTGACACAAGTCACCAGTGGATCAGGTCAGTAGGTCTGCGCTGAACTGTTTCCAGATATGATATATATATAGATATTTGATAACCTTCTGCTTGTATTGTGTTATAGTGAATTGTATTCAGCTGGAGTGTCACGATTCACTGACGCGTGGTTACACCTGATCGATTTGTAAACAATGTTCTGTCCCTTCAATGAGCAGTATTGAATTTCTGTATCTATTTTCAATAAGCATCATGTTTTGCAATAACTCGGACTGGTGACTCATCGGGCAATCATTTACATCAGACTGAACTTTTTTTGAAACTTTGATTATGATTCAGATCCCTATCAACATAGCGTTTGTACCACTGTGATATTCGTAAGCACATGATAAAGTACATACTTACGATAAATCGCAACACTACGAACGCTTTGTTGATTCGGACTCCGACTTCAAAGAATAAAACTGTGAAAATATAGAACATAATCATTTAATGGAAAGCACTGATTCCTACCATTCCAGAACCAGAAATGTGTGTAATGTTTAGAAAAAAACATCTTATTATACAACTGTTTGAGGGGCGGTGGGGTAGCCTAATGGTTAAAGAGTTTACTCGTCACGCCGAAGAACCGGGTTCGATTCCCCACATGGGTACAATGTGTGAAGCCCATTTCTGGTGTCCCCTGCCGTGATATTGCTGGAATATTGCTAAAAGCGGTGTAAAATTAAACTCATTCACTCACAAATGTTTGAATTTCCTTTTTCTGAATAGCTACATGAATCTTTGGGTCAAGAAAATCTGCAAATAACATCTTTGTAGTCTGCCAATAAAATGACACTATATCTAACTTTAAGTAACGCTACACCATGTGTACTTTTGTGTGAATCTTGATTTGTGTTGAAGCAGAATATATGTATGTAAGGCTGTACTATTCTGTAAATGAAATATTGCTCGTCTAGTGCCGAACTCTCTAAACTTAGCGCTCAACTGCTGAAAGTATTCATAGGTGATAGGGCAACCTGGAAGAGTTCATGCTGGTATCGCAAAATGTATCAGTAGTTTGAAAGATGAATCGTGACACCCCAAGTGTTTTATGAATGTAATTGGTTTTATTAGAGTCTCACTGTCTCACAGAAACTGTGAGTTATTATTGACACGAAATCTCCAAAAAAAGAAGTTCAGGACCACGTGATCCATTCTTATCGCCATATTTAATCTGTAATAACCTGGATTCTGGGTCCTTAACGTCTTTAGAGTGATATATTTATATTTGCATGTGATATTTACAATCCATTCTGATGAGTTGCTGGTTTTACGTGTATGTACAGTTTTATTGTAAATGTACAGTTTAGTGAAATTGTTAAGAATACATCACTCTATATTTTATGTTAGTTTGTATCAATTCACATTTGCCTTGCTTTAATAATGTTAAACGAATGTTTATTTTTGTTGGAAAAAGTAATTACTCCATGACATACATATATACTGATTCTGAAACAATTATTTAGTATTGTTCAGAATGCTTTGATTGTAGTAAAACTGCTTCAATCATGGTTTCTGAAAATTTAGGAATTGTATATACGATTGATATATTGTATATATGATCTTGTATGGAGACCAAAATCAGATCACATCCCCGAATGGTATCCTTTTGGCATCCCTATCCTAGGGGCAGAGGTGGCTTATTGGGTAAAGCACTGTAATTGTCTGTGTAGTGTTATGTCCCTTAGATGGTTCAGGATATAGGTTCAAATGAAATTTTCTGTTTATGTTGATTATCTTGTCAGCGAACCTGTTCATGGATTTCATGGAATAATTTCTGACTTTCGTCACTCTAGGTTTTACTGCTGTTGCAAGGCACTACAACAATGTAAAACCCAATCCTCGCATTCTACAAAACAAATATTTCTGGCCAACATCCTGACCTCATGAGCTTACTAATCCTACAGATATACTGGTTCAGTGTTTGTACTGGTGCATGTATAATTAATGTTACAGTGTTACCCATGATAATGACGAGCAGCGGGGTAGCCTAGTGGTTAAAGCGTTAGCTCATTGCGCTGAAGACCCAGGTTCGAATCCACAAATGGGTACAATATGTGAAGCCCATTTTTGGTGTTCCACATTGTGTTAATGCTGTAATTTTGCTAAAAGTATCATAAAACTAAACTAACTAAATACAATAGGTTTATATTCTTCCTCTGTCCAATTGCCACAAATGGTTTTGGAAATCAAATACAGCCAATACCTTTCCTTCTTCTATTAGAAAGACCCAGTAATTGTGGCAGCATCTGTGGTTGTGAATTTTGCAACATGAGGGATATTGTCACCATTGTGTCATTGGTTTTGTGGGGCAGTGGGGTATCCTAGTGGTTAAAGCGTTCGATCGTCACACCAAAGACCTGGGTTTGATTCCCCACATGTGAAGCCCATTTCTGGTGTACCCCCGTAATATTCACTCTTTGGTTTTGAGTTTTCTTTATTCAGCATTTCTTACTTTCATTCCAGAACACTGTAACTACTGTAACTAGCATAATCGTAGATACCACACAATCCAATAAAGGTGATACTGACTGTGCATGGCATTGTCTTATTTATGTACATAACATACTGACCCGTGAAGATCCGGGTTACAATTGGTCTTCAGCAACCCATGCTTGTCCCCTGAAGATCCAAGTTAGAATTGATCTTCAGCAACCCATGCTTGTCCCCTGAAGATCCGAGTTAGAATTGGTCTTCAGCAACCCATGCTTGTCCCCTGAAGATCTGAGTTAGAATTGATCTTCAGCAACCCATGCTTGTCTCGTGAAGGTCCGAGTTAGAATTGATCTTCAGCAAGCCATGCTTGTCCGTGAATATCTGGGTTAGAATTGGTCAGGCTCACTGACTTGGTTGACATGTCATCATATCCCCAATCCATAGATTAATGCTCATGCTGTGGATCATTGGATTGTATGGTCCAGACTCTATTATTTACTGATCACAGTCATAAACCTGGAATATTGCTGAATGCGGCGTTAAACAACAAACCAAACCAAAACCCAACATATTACAATAGTTTGATTATGTACAGCAAGGGCAGTGGGGTGGGCTAGTGGTTGAAGTGTTTGCTGGTCATGCAAAGAGCAGGTTTGATTCTGCACATGGGTACATTGTGTGCAGCACACTTCTGCTGTCCCACACCCTGATATTTGGGATGGTTAATGGTATCGTATTGTGTCATCGTGTCCCAACTGGGTAGATTGATGCTCATGATGTT